TTCTCTCTCGCGCGCGAGCGCTCTTCTCCACTAAGACCCAGTGGAGGTCCAGGGCAAGATGGTGTGGAATGGGGCCAGGGCCGTCTTTTGAGCAATCTTTCTTGCAGTCCAATCCAATTCGGTTTGAAATACAAAGAAACCACCCTGCCCTTAATAGATTAAATTTTAATAAAAACACATTAGATTCGGTAAAATATGAATGCACTGCTTAAAAAATGCTAATAGTAAATCAGGCCCCAGAAACAAGGTGGAGACAGCGATGCCTTCCCCCGGGGTGGCTCGGGGTGGTGGGTGGATTTCCAGGTGTGGGGCGCCGACTGCCGGACCTGCGGCGAGTGGAGGACTGAGCCAGAAAGAGGAGGCTCCCAGCGGTCCGCAGATGGGACGGGAGCTCCTGTCGAACAAAGAGGCTCGGTTAGCGGAGGGAAGCTCGCTCCTCTCCTGGCAGACACTTCCCTTCCTTGGGCTTAAACACAAAGCAAACCCACAAACCAGTTCTCAGGGGCACAGTGCCTGTCGAGGCTATGCTGGGGTCACAGAAGGCAGGATTCTGGTTTGGGGGGTTGGTGCCAAACTTTCCAGTGGTTTAGCTGGGGCCTGCTGGGGGGGGGGGTGTCTGTCTTCCCCAAAGAGCAGCCAGCAACGCCGGCGGGCGACTCTGAAATGGGTTTTTATTGACATCACTGCCAGGATGTAGGCATTCCGGACACTCAAGTCGTGGTGATCAAGGCAGAACAATCGCATTTTCTCTCCAATAGCAACACAATCGCCGCTTTTGTTCATTTTTCACTTTGGGAAAAGAAGTCTCTGACTGGCCTTTTCACAAATGGATCTGTGTTCTGCGGGGGTGGGGTGGGGCGGATGGAATATTCAGGTAAGTGAACTTGTCAACCACTTTCCAGTCACATATTCATTTATTTCAACTTGATCATTAAAAAGCATGGGGCTGCTTCTTCTTTTTTTCCTATCTGGAATTAAAGACACCACTGGAATATCTCAGAGAGGAAAAATACCGATTTAACATTTTTTTATTATTTAAAAAGTATTATCTTTAGTAGTTGTACAAAGAAGTTTCAGCACATCAGTTTAAGAGTACACTGCATCTTGGTCGATGCTACTCCTTCTATCCTGCCCCATCTGTCTAAAACTCCACCCCCCAAAATGCCATTTTAAGATTAAGGACATGGAGATTTTAATCACCAGGAAAACATTCTCACAGAGGTTTTGGCTTAAAGTAGTTTTGGTCAATAAATTCCATACCAAACAAAAGTTTGTCCAGTTATTTCAACCTGCCTCCTCTATTTCCTGACTGTATTACACGACTTCACTTACCATAGGAAGTGGTGATGAGTCTTTAGCATTTTGGAGATCTGTTGTCAGTTGCTATTAAAATCAAGATTAATTCATATTAACGATATGCATTTCTCAATACTCCCAGGTGACAACATACATTAATACAACTATTGCAAGTAATTAAGCCCAATGAAGGAGGAGGGACAAAGAGAGGTTGAAAACACCCCAAATATTTGATTTTGCAATTCAAGTTCGACAGACTGTTGCCACAATAATGTGTAGGAAACTCCTCAGGGTTGCTTTTTTACTTTACATCTAATTAGGCACCTAATGAAAGAGAAGAATCCCCCCCCCATGTGGTTTCTCGCCTACATATTCTTGTGCCTTTATTTAAACACGTAAACACACTACCTAGGAGTTGCAATACCCCAAAGTTTCTCCTGTGATTCAATCGCTATAATAATCTGGGGAAACTGGATAGATGAAAACGTTTTATCTCCCTACTTTCCTTCTCGCTCTCACTTTGGCCCTTTCCCATTGAAAATGCACTCAAAATATTTCTTTTATGGATTTGTATTAGATTTTTGAGATGCTCAACAGTTTATACTAATTAAAGCATACTAAGCCTTTTGAAGATTAAGTAAATTGGACAACCCTTGTTAATTAGAACATAATTTGAAGTTTGAAATTATATTACTGATGAAGTGGTCTAATTAGTATGACGATATGTTAATGGACCAGTGAGACAAAACCCTGCAGTGGAGTTTGGCATGAACCTCCCCCAGGCTTGCACGAAAATCCTCTCCCCTATACTGACATTAATAAAAGATTTCTATAGACTCCAGCCTTTCCAGGATGACATACAATTTATAGTACACACAATACATTAGCCCATAGTACTGCTCAATTTTTTCACTATTATGAAAACTAATAAATTCGTCAAGCTGAATTAAGCATACAAATCAGATGAGGCATAGCAGATTACACAGTGAAGCGCGGTGTCTCCCGAGCCTAAATGAAATTTCAATCTAATAATTCCTTCCTGGCCCCGTCATAATTTGTTTAGAGATGTTGTTCTACTTCTTTCAAAGCGCTATTCGCACTATAATTAAATGATACTCAAGCTTTTAACTTTGATTTATTTCATTTCACGAAGCTGGAGACAGTGAGGGAGCTGTGCGGTGTTCTTTCTTTCTTTCTTTTAAATTTATTTACTTGAAAATTACCCTGACTGTTGTTGGGGTAGAAATTAAACACCCACGCGTGGACTTGAACCGTCCGGCATGAGCCTCATTCATTCATGCCAGCACCCCCCTCCCCGCACCCCGAGCCCAGTCCTCTGTCTAGGCTGACTCCGGCTCCTCCGAATCCCCTTTGGCTACTATTTATGATTTTCCTGCGCACTGGGGGAGAGAAAGGCGAGCCACGGGCGGCGTTGGGAAGCGGAAGGGGTTTCAGCACCGCGGACAGCGCCCGCGCGCTCCCGGGGGCCGCCCGGGCCTCTCCAGCTCTGCCCCGCTGCGCTCTCCTTGGGATGCCAGACTCTGCCTGGGCCAGGTCAGGAGTGGACAGGCGGCTCCCCCGCCCCCGCTTCTCCGTGCCCCCGTCGCGGGGCTTCTGGGTGCTGACCACTCCAGGGGTCCCCTCTCTCTCCACGCGGCTTTCTTTCCACTTTGTTTGCGTCCCGGCGCACGCCAGCGCCTCTCTGGCCCGCCGCCCGCCCTCACACCTGCTCGCCGTCCCCCAGCGCCCGGGGCCTGCACCTGCTCCTGGTCACCCCGCCTGCGGGTCCCGCCACCCGCAGGGGCCTGCGCGCGGGTCCCGGGGGGGGGGGACGTTCTCAGTCGGGAGAGCACCCCGTGTCTTCTGCGACCTAGGGAGGTGGAAGCATCGCCCCCCTACCCCAGAAGTAGACGGAAGATGAGCTCGTCAAGGGGAGGAAGACGATGCGTTCGGGCGCGTGTGTGCGTGTGTCCTGTGTGTGATCGTCTCATTTTGCAACTGGAGCTAAGACCACTTCTCAAGTGGTCTGCACTGGGACACACGTGTGAGCAAAGTGTAAGCTAGAAATCGTCGCTGGGGCGCAGGGCGCTGTGGAAATGAGGATGAGCGCGGGCTTGTGCCAGCCCGCGAGGGTGCGTGCGTGTGTGTGCGCGCGTGTGTGTGCGCGTGTGGCGGGCTATTCGGCAGCACATGCGCTCTATAATTTCTGGCCCTTTCTTCCTCTGTCAGTCGCCTCTTCTCCCTTTGATGGCAGCTAATGAAGAAGAATCAATCCGAGCAGGTGCTGGCTAGTGGATCCTTCCCAAAACGCAACTCGGCACCGGGGACACCGGGGAGGAAGAGGTGGGAACGGAAAGCAGAGGAGTGTGTGTGTGTGTGTGAGTGTGTGTGTGTGTGTGTGTGTGTTGGGGGGGCGGGTACCGGATGGGGGGGTGGAGTCGCATGCGCACAGGAGACCCGAGCAGACTCGGCTGCTGTCCAATCCGCTGAGAGCTGGGGGAAAGCGGGGGAGAGAAAGCCGGGCCGCCCCGCCGCCCCATGCCTTTTCCGCACCGGGCGCCCGCCGGGCCGAGGGGGCTGGACGCGCCGCGCCGACCTCCGGACACTGGGAGGTGGGATCGATCGCGC